CTAAAAGTCTTAAAACAACCGCTGTAGAAATCGAGTCCAGTAACTTTAGCCTTTTACATTTTACAAGCACTGAATGTTAGTGCAGTACTAATTGTATACGCTAAATGTACACAAAATCATCGACCGTGCAAAATAAGCTAATTAAAATCAAAATTGCAGTGGAAGCCTAACATTGCAGGATCCGCAATCTCACAAATGAAGTAGGGCCATATATATGTATATAAAAATTTTCTCTTTCTCTCTCACTTTACACACACGCACCCACCCACCCAGCTACTCACACACACATACACGTGATCGCATACCATTTTGTAGTACCGAAACTTGTTTCTCGGACAGCCATGATGTTTGGACAGTGTAAGGATGGAATTTTCTGAATATTTTTAAACTGTTATGGCCAAGTTCTTCTCTCTTTATTCATGCAATTGATTCCATTAGACTAAATATATATTACCATCCCATTGATTTTTAAGCAGAACTCCATATTTTTCAATGGCATGATATGGCCCAAAGGAATTACTGTTGAGACCTTTGCAGTTATTGTTTCACCAGTATTTTACTAGCATGTTATCTTACTCTGCTCAGAGCAGGTCGAGATAACCAGTAGCAAAGATGAGTGTCTCCACCACCATTGCTATCACTGACAAAGCTACACAGACAAAGCTAGGACACTGATGGGAGATTTAGGGTCTGATTTGCAGGGGTGATGAGTGACCCCAAGTCAATTAGAGATGCCAATGTGCAGCACCTTTGGAAATCAGGCTTCTAACGCGTTTTTATTTCTGTAATATATACACATTATGGAGGCACTGGTTACAGCTGCATAGTTAAGACTGAATTGAGTTTTACACTTTAAACATAACAAAGCAGTTGAATACCTGCTTTAAGATTATTCTGTATCCTCCTCACACTTACAGCACTTTTTCTTTGAGTACTGAATACATTTTCTGATAACATACACAGAAATCCATTAATTAGTTTATGCGTTAGAATTAATTTGTAAAGGTGTCCTTTAAGAAATTTAGCATTCTGTCAGACCATTTTTTGTCCCCAATAATCTCAATCCAGGCATTGTCTATCTTAAAAAAAAATGTTTAATAACACTGATACAATAGGAAAGTATAGAAAATAAATTGTTTAGGATTAATGGTAATTTCCCCCTGTACTCTGTGTTGGTGAAAAAGAAACTTTCATCTGAGACTGACTGAATAATATAATTCTCCTTCAGAGAAACTCACTAAAAAAAAGCCTACTTTCAAAATGGCCACCACTTCTTATTGTTCTGGACAGGACTGAGACTACAAGTGGCCCTTAGCAAAGATGGCCATCACTCCCATTCACCAGGTCTTCACAGTTCTCTTTTCTGCTTCCTGACAGCATAGGGGCCATCAACTTTCATTGGGATAGCTTGGTATCACTTTTATTGGGATTAATGGGAGGCAGTGGCCGTCTTTAGTCTGTGGACTCAGACTCATTGAGAACACTGGGTGATGGAAACCATTTTAAAACAGGGTAATTCTGAGTGAGTTTCTGTAAAGGAGAAGATTTAAGGAGCCAGCCTCTGCTGATGGAGAAACACAGGAATAAAATGACCCAGCTTCTGCTGATAGAGAAACATAGGAATAAAATGACCCATCATCCTAAATACTGATCTTCCAAAACTATCTATTTCACTAGGTTTACTCAACAGAGAGAGCAGGGAAGGGAAATTTTGTGTGTGCGCACAGAGGAATGTGAAATACAGGAAGAAGGAGGTAACCTGATTTAAGGTTGATATTTCTAATGATTTGAAAATATGTACTATCAAACTAATTTTACTGTTCACATATAACCATTTTAATAATTAATAAACCTCTTAGATAAAATACATGAAAATGGAGCTATTATTCGGAGTACATTAATTTAGCACAAAAATTTACAAGGTTAATTATCTTCCCAAAAATTAACACTCCCCTTAGTTAAAAAATAGCCTCAAAACAAGTATTATAAACCCAGGAAATTCAAAGCTAAGATTAAATTTAGAAGAAATGTAAACATGTTAAAGTACAGAAATGTACTGTTAAGATACTCAAATACCCTTAGTTCTGCCTTGAAAGAAAATATATATTTTTTTAAATCGAATGTGTCTTTAAAAAAAATCAGTTTAGTTTAATCACATCATGCATAGTATCACTATTACTAATAATGCTGTATTAGAAAAAGAGCTTGATAAGCTAAAAAGGTTAGTGAAAAAATTGTTAGCACTCTAAGGTTTTCTTAAACTATAAAATAATAACTGCACATTGTTACTAATGTGTATGAAAGAATAATATCCTGAAAAACCAAGCACTTAATTTCTTTGTATTAAAATAGATAGCATCGTAATTGGAATTGCATATCTAAAATTGAACATACTGTATTTTAACTGAATATCTGAAAGATATAGTAGAATATATAATATAGTACAATTCATAAACATGGTTTTTGAGGGGAGGAAAGGGGAATGAGATATTTTCATTTCTGAAAAAAACAATGGTCTAAATAGAATCAGAAATAGAATGTAATTTAACTAACAAGTATTTACTTGCACTACTGCATTCCTTACAGAAAACCAAGTGGTGCATTTTACATATGGTTACAATGCATTCAAGAAAATCAGTTCCTGCAATGAAACAAGATGTTAATGTCTAGATAATTGTGTACAGAAGCTGTTAGACATGGTACAGTTTATAATGAAGACTGTTACACATATTTTGAAAAAACAGGGCTTTGCAAAATATTGGACACTACAGCTACAAATCCCTGTAAACTAAATACAGGCTGTCCTCGGACTTACAACACAATTGGTTCCTTACAATTCCGTCGTAAGTCGGAACTGCAATCTACTCCATTGCGAGACCGAGCACTGTAAACTCAAAGCCTATAGTCGTAAGTTGAATCAGGATGTCAATGTAGAAGTGTCATAAGTGCCATTTGTCATAACCTGAACATTGTAAAGTCAGTAAATAGAATAGTATTTGACTGTGGTAACCACTTTACTAATTGAGAAGTGAACAGCACACAACATATAGTATGGATGTAGTTTCTTCTTTGTGCTAAGGAGTGAAGATTTAAGAGTATTTTCTTTGTAGACGATCTGATTCCATCACACTAAAATTTTAATTTAGCCATTTTAATATCAGCATCTTGAGAATTTAAAAACCAAACCAAGGGCTAGATACCCAAGCTAATCTGATAATATACTGAGGGTCTTATTTGTACAAATTACTTTACTGGAATTCCAGCTGGTGAGTAGGGGGAAGAGAGAAGCAATATGACACAGGTGTTTCTGAAGTTAGCCTTATTGACTGCCCTTTACACTTTTTCAGAGGGGTGTTGACATGTAAAACACAAAACATGGTCTGAAGTATCAAAGTTTACTAGGCTAGTGAGCTGCACTACCTTCATGCAGAAGCAAAACAAAAATAATGGCTTTTATTTTCAAAAGTGAGTAACAATTATGGGTGCTTCCATTTTTGGTGCCGAACTTGAGACAAGGGGTCTGATTTTGAGAAAGTGTTCAGTACCTGTCCTCTGAAAATCAGGTCCCTTTAAAGTATCTAAAATGGGCACACAAAAACAGACACTTTCAAAATCACTAGACACTTTTGAAAGTTTAAACTAACAGTTTTTCTCACTAAGAATAAGGCCATGAGGAATTTCTCTGCTAAATGATAACTTTATATAGCAAAAGCCTGGTTTCCAACATGAAGTTGTTTGGCAAAATAACCTTATTGAAGCACCAATTCCCAATGGGAACCAATTGACAGGATACTGGGGAAAGTATTCATTTATACTATTCTTCTCATGGTTTCTAATATTGCATTCCACATTTTTGAAGTTTCTTTTATCAAGTGTTCCTTTCCGATCAAGAAGAAGAAACAAACTGAACTATTACTTGATTTTCAAGAGAACATGCGTATTTTCAATGTAAACATTCACATTCATAATTACAGAATTAGGCTGTAAGCTCTTCGGGGCAGGGACAATTTTTTTGTTCAGTGTTTATACAGCACCTAGCACAATGAGATCCTGGACCATGACCAGGACTATATTATATTATTAATCTAATAATGTCAGCCAAACTTTGTGTAACTTGGCAGTTTTATCTCACTAACAACAACAACAACATTACTATTCAATTAAGATTTTCTAAAAATAGGCAAGAACAATTAGATGCCTGGTCAGCATATCTGAGATGGGGGAAGTAAAAAAAACGAGCAGGCTAGTACTTTGATATTTAAATCCTTCTACTAGAGATTACAGGTCACAGGTCTGAGTCTCTGCTGCCTACCAACCTGCGGTTGACACTTACACAGTACAAATTAGGTGTAAGACACTAGCAAACCAGAATTCTCTATTCACTGCACAGGCACCGGCTTCCTCCAGGCCCTGGGGTACTCACCCCCTGCTCCGCCCTAGGCCCTGCCCCCAACCCAACTCCTTCCCCCAAGCCCCCAGCCCTGCCCTACGTCTTCCTGCCCCATCTCTTTCCGCCCAGTTCCTCCCCCTCCCCCCCCAGTGCATTCCCCCGCTCCTCTGCCTCCCCCCCCCCACCAGCACCTCCTGCATGTCACGGAACAGCTGATCTGCAGCAGGAAGTAGGTGCTGGGAGAGAGGGGGAGGAGTTGATCGGCAGGGCCGCTGGTGGACAGGAGGCTCTGGGTGCCGGTGGGCGCTAAGCACCCCCTAATTTTTTTCCGTGGGGGCTCAAGCCCTGGAGCACCCACAGAGTCAGTGCCTATGATTCACTGACACTGATGGTCACATTTTACACAGGTCTATGCAATTCTAAACACACACACATATACATGCAATATTCTGTAACAGAAAATATACTCCCCAATATATATAGATATTTTAATACATGTCATATGACATGAAACATAATTAGTCAAGTATTTATTTGGGGATTTATATAATTATCTACTTCTCTATTTTCTTTTAATAACACTGCTATAATGTTCTTATTGTAGGTTAGAGATCTGAAACAATGGGTGACTGGAGCTTTCTGGGGAGACTATTAGAGAATGCACAAGAGCACTCCACGGTTATTGGCAAAGTTTGGCTGACGGTACTATTTATCTTCAGGATCCTGGTGCTGGGGGCTGCTGCTGAGGAAGTCTGGGGAGATGAACAATCGGACTTTACATGCAACACCCAGCAACCTGGTTGCGAAAATGTCTGCTATGACAAAGCCTTCCCCATTTCCCACATCCGCTTCTGGGTGCTGCAGATCATCTTTGTCTCTACGCCAACCCTCATCTACCTGGGCCATGTGCTGCACATTGTGCGCATGGAGGAGAAGAAGAAAGAGGAAGAGCTAAAAAAGAAGGGAAGCAGCAGGGACAGCAACCACCAGGGGGGAGCAGCAGCAGCAGGTGGCCGAGGGAGTAGCAACAACAGCAGCACCAATAAGGAGCCACCCCCAAAGAAGGAGAAGCCACCAATCCGTGATGAGCGGGGTAAAATACGCATCAGTGGTGCCTTGCTCCGCACCTATGTCTTCAATATCATTTTCAAAACTCTGTTTGAGATAGGCTTCATTGTGGGCCAGTATTTCCTGTATGGCTTTGAGCTGAAGCCACTCTATCGTTGCAGCCGTTGGCCTTGCCCGAACATTGTGGACTGCTTCATTTCACGGCCCACTGAGAAGACCATTTTCATCATCTTCATGCTGGTGGTGGCATGTGTCTCGCTGCTGCTCAACATGCTTGAGATGTACCACCTTGGATGGAAGAAGCTCAAGCAAGGCGTGACCAACCAATACCGCCCTGATCCACTCCCCATTGCACCAGCTACCATTGCAAGGGACTCCAAACCTGTTACTCTGCCATTGCCATCTCCGGCAGTGTTCCCTACTGTCCCGCCTGCTCTGCCGGATTCCCGTGCCATCACTCCGCTGCTCTCTTCACGGACTGTGCCGCCTTACTATGCTGAAGCCACTGCTAGGGCACAACCAGCCACCACAACTTCCCTGGCTGGCTACTCCGGGGCTCCTCCATTTTCTGAGGAGCGACACAATACTGCCACTCCCATTCCAACCTCCATCCCAATCCCAACTCTATCCCCCATCCCAACACCTATGCAAGCCATCACCCCCTACTTCAATGGCAGCAGCCAGGCCTTAGCTGCCGAGCAGAACTGGACCAATCTGGCAGTCGAGCAGCAGAGGAAGCCACCAGCCTCCAGCTCAGCTGCCTCCTCTCCCCCCAGCAGCATCGGACAACAATCGCCAAAGCAAGAGGTGGCCAGTGAGCAGCTGCTGCCATCGCCACCTCTTTTGCCACCTGTAGCAGCAGTCAATAGCAGCAGCAGCACCAGCCTGAGCAGAGGAAGCAGCAGCAAGTGGGATGTAGAAGGTGAAGAGGAGGCCACAAAGGAGTGGCCAGTGTCAGCTGCCTGCACTACAGTAGAAATGCATGAGCCGCCACTGCTCATAGACACACGGCGCTTAAGCAGGGCTAGTAAGTCAAGCAGCAGTAGAGCCAGGTCAGATGACTTAGCTGTGTAACGTGGTCCCTAGCACTGGGAGAAGCAAATGATGAAAGCAAAGTGTGATGGGGAGCTGCATGGGGATGAGGCCATGCCCCAGTACAGGGGTGAGGGAGGCCGGGGTTCCAAACTTTGAAGCTTGCTGTTCTTGCACTCTGTGAGTTGTAGTGGGGATAAATATCTACATTTTCTAGTAGGTCAGGGGTGGCCAAAGTGCAGCCCGTGGACCAAGGGACCAATCCCTCTGTCATTGACATCAATGACAAACATCCCAATGGCAGCCATATGGAGGGCTTGCACAGATGACAGGTGGTGGCACTGGCAGTGGTGGCAGCTAGCCATGTGCCTTCATAGGGAAGCTCTTCCAAGAACAATGTTAATACTCTTAGCCCTCACCTTCACTTCCACTCATCTTATATAAGCACTTCATGAGCAGAGGCCTTGACTTCTTTCCTTCCTCTGAAACCCCATGCACACCTGTTTAACCACCTCCTTGAAAATGAGGATGGCATATTGCCTGCTGGCACCTGTCATCTCTGTGGACCAAATCTGCCATATTAAACATCAGGGTGACAACATTCTCTTCCATTTAATGCAAAGTAGGGCAGCCTTTGCACTCATGGCAAATTGCCAATGCGACCCTGTTGGCTGGGCAAAGTTTGGATAACCCCTGTAGTAGCTTTTATCATTCTGAGCTTCATCTTTGTATTATTATAATAATTTTTTTACTTTTGACCTATAAGGAAATGTCCAGTTTGACCTTCTGTCCGGTGTTTGCCAACTGCGACCACACAATTTTTTTAAACCCATGTATGCCTTTGAATATGTTTGGTTATATTTTGAGATGACTTCTGAAATTGCTTAGAGGAGGACAGGAAACTAAACCACACACCTCATAAAATATTACACAGAATAATTGTAATCCAGAAAGAAAGGATTATGGTTTCAGTACACTGTGACCCCTTATGTTGCTCATGAACAAAACAGTAGGTTAAAGTATGGTACTGCATTTTAGACTATTAGATACATGCTTTTATCAGCTTAAGGTAGTTGGGAAAATGCTTAATAGAAGTAAAACTAGAGTGCATACCTTTAAAGTATTTGAGCAGTTTTAGAATAAATTTTAATCTGTAGATTTAAATTACTTGACAGTGTACTTATACATTTTAGTTTGATCTTTGATCTCACAGGAAAAATTAAGGGGAAACCAAAGTAAAGTCCAAAGCAATATTGTTTCCTGCTGTGTTTTGTAAGTGATTAGCCCTGTCCTACAACAATCTGTAATGTCTTACAAACCAATAAACAGCAGACATAGAATATACTGTACAGCAAAAAAGGTGACTAAAATATCATGGCAACATTTTAGGGGCCTCAGGGCCTATTCTGATTCCACAGAAGTCAATGGCAGAATTCCTGTTGACTTCCATAGGAGCAGGATTGGGCCCTCTCATCTTGAAGTCGTTATTCAATCAAAACTCCATTGGAAGTCAAATGAAGTTTTGGGTGCAACAAGGAATGTAGGATTGGGCCCATTTCCCTTAAAACTGTGAAGAAAAGTGATGGGTATTTTTCTAAGGAGTCAGCTTTCCTTAAAAGAGACTCCATCTTTCATTCCCATTGTAACAAATACCCTCATATAAGTCAGTCAAAAGTTTGAACTCCTGATAAAGTTGGTGAGAGATTTGGGTATACAAAGAATGCAGAATCAGACCCAACTTTTGTTCTTGTGGTTGAAAAGATCATTTCAATTAGTTGAAGTCCAGCACTATTCCTCTGGCTGCCATAAAACTGAACTTGTATTTAGCTGTGACATTCTGAGTACCTGTCCCAGACCTGAAGAAGAGCTCTGTGTACGCTCTTTTTCACCAACAGAAGTTGGTCCAATAAAAGATATTACCTCACCCCCATTGTCTCTCTCATATTCTGGGACCAACATGCTACAACACCACCACAAACAAAGCTGAACTGCCATAATTAAAATAGTATAGCTAAGTTCACTTAAATAACCTTTCCATGTTCAAAATGTGTTGGCCTGGCCATGTAGTGCTTACTTAGGGAACTGGTCTCAACTTTGCCTATGTAGCTAAAAGGCTACAAGTGCAACTGATAATATATATTTTCCTAAACGTGTTGATTTTATTAAACGATTAACAATATTTCCCATCAATACAGACTAAAATGTTATACTTTAATATTTCCTGAACAGATTCAAAATTATTTCTGAATAACCATGGAACAGGGTTTGGGTTCTGTCTTGAGACCCTTATACAAGTTGTCTCATTGACTTCAGTTGACCTACTTGTGTGAGAAAGGGTTGCGGGATGCAGCTCTGGCCTGCTAACAGTCTTGGAGTGGACACTGCATATATAATAAAGTCAATATGCATTTGTTAATATGCTGATTAACAAGTAAAACCAGATAGCAACTATTTAGTAGTCAAGTTTAAGGGATCCTCTCATGAGCTGTTTTAAGACATTAAAAACAGACAAACATACAAGCTAAAAGAATTCTGCTCTCAGCTACACCCATGCAACACCACTGAAACTAGCACAAAGTTAATAGGGTTATATTAAATGTACATAAGGACAGAATTTAGCCCTCAAAATTTTTAGATCTACTAACATTTCTAGCAGTTTCTGAATGACAGGTCATTATATTGCTGAAGTAACAATGTGCACCTCTATATTTTAATGACTCAGAGCTGCATCAAAATTCATAGGGCCAAATTCTGCTCTCGTTTACACTAATGTAAAGAGTAAATATCTCCAGCTGTATATTGATATAACTAAGGCCTTGCTTCAAAAAAGCATTTTGAGTACATGCTTTGCTGGAGCAGGGCCAGAGAGCAGAATATTGACCCCCTGTTACATATTGTCACTAATCCTGCAATCCTTACTCAGGGAAAACCCCCATGGAGTGAGCCCATACTATATATAAAAATCTAAGAGGAGAGATTGTTATAACTTGCTTAAAATCAACTGATATTTAATCTACCATTTTCAGATTAACATGTGTGCACAGAGTTCAAAGAGTTTTGTGGTATGTGGCATTTTCAGGTATAGTAAAGATTGGACAGCTGTCCTTGCAAAAGACCCATTTATTTCAGCAGCAAAGAGTCCTGTGGCACCTTATAGACTAACAGACGTATTGGAGCATGAGCTTTCATGGGTGAATACCCACTTCGTCGGATGCACAAAGTGGGTATTCACCCACGAAAGCTCATGCTCCTATACGTCTGTTAGTCTATAAGGTGCCACAGGACTCTTTGCTGCTTTTACAGCTCCAGACTAACACGGCTACCCGACACCATTTATTTCAGTTATACAGGGTAGGTGTGGGGAAGCAGAATTGCAACTCTAACTGTGCTCCCTGGGAGAAACCTGATCTAATAGTCTCCAGACCAGATCAACAATAGTTTGAGAAAATAGATAAAACAAAACAAAGCTACAACTCACAGGTTGTGTTTTTAACACTGGCTTCTTTAAGTTCTACCAAAACAACTGTAAAAGCTCAAGCTTCTTGGTTAACCACACTTTAATTTAGAGTGTTATAAACTGTTTCTTAATTTCACTCATGATAACTGATCTTGCAGAGGCAAAACTTCAGTTGATTTCAGTGGACATTTTGTCTCTTTGAAGGCTGCAGGATCAAAAGGGGGAAACAAATTTATTTGAAAATATCATTGGTGGGGCAAATAATGAGAGTTTTACTCAGTCTTTACTCATGAAAATTGCCATTTAAATCAATGGGAGTCTACTAAGTAAAGAATAACATGAACTCAGTATGGTTGGCCTGGAATGCATAATATTTTAATATGCTTATTGGGCCTGATCCAAATCCCACTGAAGCCAATGGAAAGATTTCCATTAAGTTCAGGGAGCTTTGGATAACACCCCATAATGCTATTGGATCTGATTCCTGCACTTCTTACTTAGGCAAATCTCCTGTTGAAGTTACAGAGTTTTCCTTAAGTAAAGAACACTGATATAAGCTATAGCGGATAGGATAGTTATGGGTTTTTTCAGTATGTGGAAAGTGATTAGTTTATGCCAAAAGGTATACATTTAAATCTTGAAAACATTTGTCTGAAGAATAGGTTTTTGAATAAAAATTAAAATCAGATTCAATTTATATCTTAAATTAATTGTTCTCTAAAACTGCTGTAAACACCAAGACGTAACATGTTGTGAAATGGAACTGCATCTGTGGATGGAAATATTTGTAAGTTTTCCAGATAATTTTGTCTGCCATACTTTGTTTCATTTGTCTCAAAAATGAAAATGGTAGCAGATGTTACTGTAGATAGAATTGATCCTGCAGCCCTTACTCAAGCCTGGAAAACTTACACATCTATTTAACTTTAAGTAGGTGTGTAAATCATTGTAGGATTGGAACACGAATAAGGACTACAGAATTGCGATTGATATTTTAAATTTGGAGGAAGTACTCATCTTCACTGTGTGGATAGATGGGTGGTGGGAAGGATTATTACATGTGATATTTAAAATGTAAAAGATAAAAGGAAATGCTAAAATATGCAAAAGATAAAACAGAAAATGTCACACTTTGAACAAGTTACCAGGTATATAATGTTCTATTGTTTGCAATCATTCAAGGAATTTGACATTTATTTCCCTCCCACAAAAAAACCCTCTAGATTTCATTAGTATATTTTTCACAATATTTTCACAACTGAATGTGTAGCAAAAATACAAACATTTTATAATATTTATTAGCACATAAATACATTGTTTTTTGACCATCAGAATATTTATATTGTTTTCTGTAGCTGGGCCTGTACAGTTAGTGCAGCTATCTGTTAATACCAAAGAAATGAAGCATAGATGATTTATAAACTACACAGTTCTTTTCTTTACATTTTGATTCAGTGAAAACAGTCTGATAGAACTTCCTGGTAACTCACCCTTAATTAAAATTTGAATATTCTTGATTTGAAAATTTAACTCATGATTTTTCATACAGAAAAAGAAAAAAAGTGATCTTTAAAACACTGAGCTTTCCCAGCATTGGTCTGTAGCTTCTTGCGAACATGTAACATGCACTGAAAAGACAATATGGGCCAAACTCACCTCTGGTGTTGCAGTAGAAGTCGACTGGTATGCAAAGATGAAGTTAATGGCCCTACCCCAGGGATTAATTTGGTCCAATATGTTTGCCATCCAGTAAGACACTCATCACTAATTAAGTGCACTGATATACTGTAATGCTTCATATTATTTTCTTATCTGAATACCTAATAGTAGGATCAGTATAAAAATTAAAACAATCCTTTTAAAAATAATATTTCAGTCTTTTTTCCAGTTAAATCTGGGTGAGTTGCTCAGCTGGTATAAATTGTCATAGTTCTATTGACCTTAATTGAGCTATGGCAGTTTACACAAGCCGAGTATCTAGACCCTTGTTTTTTAATTTATTAAATTCCTTAGTAGAGCTGAATTAAACAGGCTGTTCTTTCCCCCCCCCCAAATGCATTTGTTTTATTTTACTCTGATTTTCCTTGCGAAATGTGTGCTCTGTTTGCAACTTTGGTTTCCTGAAGTTTACATTAAATTTTTAATTTCAGAATTGTACATTTGGACTGAATACACTATTTTGGAAGTTTATATTGGTATAATACAAATTAAAGCAATGGCCCTGCCAATGTGTTAATCCTAAAATGAAATATCTTAATATAAACATAGAACTCTTCAGATGTAAGGCAGTACCATTAAAAAAAATTCATTTAATATTGGGAATTCTTACCAATAATCTACACTATCAGTTTCCTGCATAGGTTTAAAGTACAGGAGCTTGCTATATGGTATACAGGGAGCACACTATTATGAAAAAAAATAAACTTTTCATCATGAACTGAATTATCACAGAATGCAATGTAGGTTTTACTATTATCTATTTACTTTGTGTGTGTGTTTAGGATGTTTAATGGCAAAAATTAGCAGTGACATCAGTTCTCTGTGTCAGAAATTGACAGTATGGCTTGAAGTCCCACACAAAACAATACTTGTGGCAAAACACTGCACTGTTACATTGTGGAGGATGTTGTAAAAGGTAATGTTTTGTTTTCCAGATAAAAACAAGGGTCTGGGTCCTGCAAAAACCCTCTCATGTGAGCGATCTTTACTCACGCAAGTAGTACTGTAGAAGGCAATGAGATTATTTGCTTAAGTAAAAAAATACTCATGTGAAAAGTAACTTGCAGGCTTGGGCCCTACATTTGTTTTAATATGCTAAGCTAATTTCTGAGGTTTCAGCCCTTAAAAAGATATGAAACAAATGTGGACATATTTTAAGATGGGGAATATATTCCTATTTCCAGTTTTCTCACAATTAAAAGGTTGTGTTGCATAAGAAAGCTTACTCAGAGGTTTCTTGTTGCTGAAAGGCTGTCTTTTACATTACAGAACCTCACAACAAAAGAAGAAAGTTTTCTGGAAAGTCAGGGACTTTTAATAACATTAAAAGCAGCAAACTGTTTCAAGTGGTGTCTTTGAAGAAGTGCCTTATGTACTCAATTCTGTAAGAATAACTTGATGTAAATGTCAATTTACCTCAAATGTTTACAAAAAACTGTTACTAAATAAACTTTTTGTACCATAAGAGCATCTCTTTTAGATTAAATTTATAGTGATGTGTAGATGATCACTAAAAATATTAAAATGCAAGGAGACCAAACTAAATGAGATAACTTCCATTTTCAGTTAATCTGCTTTCTTTTAACATTCAGTCTTATTCAGCTGACTGAATAAGATCTGTCTGAAAACTGAAGGCCGAATCTTGTGAACTATCCACATGCAGATCTCCCACTGACTTCAATGGAAGTTCTCATTGCAGAGGGGAAGCTAGGGATTCAATCCTGATCTTACTGCAGTCAGTAGCAGTTTTCCCATTGACTTCAGTGGGTTAAGGATTTCACCCTAGATTTTGACTGTGACACAATTCCTCCCATACTTCATCTTTGCTCCTGGGAGTAGTAAGCTATGGGTGGCCATCCTCATCCTCCCCAGCTACTTTAAATGGGGAGTGTGGCCAAGTCTCTGCCCATTTCCTGCTCATTCCCATCCCCTCTGCAGACAGCAAGTAGGCCTGCTTAGGCCTATGTGCTCATATGCAAGGTCCCAATAGTTCAAGCAAAGGTGAAAGGGCATGGTGTTTTAGAAGCAAATTATCCAAGTGGTGCTTTTTCCTGAGCAGCAGTAAGTCAAGTTTCCAGAAGAATAACTCTCAAAGAGTAGCAGAATGGGTGAGAGTGACAGCTGTTAGAAAAGTTAGAGAGTTTGCTTGTTTTTATTTTTTAGTTTTTTTCCCCCCCTATCAATTTATATGGGGTAAAAGGTCCAAATTCTGCTTGCCTGAATCAAATAACCTGTCCCACTGTTTTTAGTAAGACAATTCACATGAGTAAGAAGGGCTGAAATTAGTCCAAAGTATCATTTACATGACTGAAAGAATGCCTAGCCTATTGGTATTCCCAAAGTCACTGAGTTGCTTCTCTACTTAAATGCCAAACATACATGCATTTTGAATAATAAGAAGCTGATCCTGCAACCTTTACTAAAACAATACCGACGGCAGGAGAAATCCCATAAGGTCTACAACAAAACTATTCATGTCAGCAGAAGAATTTGTAGGCCTTGTGCTCTAATTTCTATTTAAAATATAGATTCATATGGGCACCCAGCATCTTATATTAGTCTACATTTGTACAAACACACCAATGTCAGTGGCATGAAGTATACATGTGGCTACAAGCCACAGTGAAAAGCAAGCCAAATCCACACTCTGGTGTGTAACTACATGTGCCAGTGAGACTCCAGCAGCAGGGAGAGAGCAGCTCCCCACTACCGGAGCCTTTGACTACTGGGAGGAAAACCTCTGGTAGGGTGAAGGCAGTGGAGAAATGCCTCTGCCAGAGTCTTTCCTGGCTGTGGGGAAAGGCTCCAGCAGCAGGGAACTGGTGGAGCCTTTCCCTGGGTTAGGGAAGTGCTCCAGTCTTTCCCCACTGCCTCCTCCCTGCCAGAGCCTTTCCCCACTGCTGGAGTCTTTTCTGGTAGTAAGGGAAAGCTCCAGCAGCAGGGACGAAGCAGGAAACTACAATGCTGGAAATATCAGTATAGATA